TTTCAAATTTAGAAATCACAGTTTGGAATCTTCTTATTTTACAGCCTCAGTTTAATAAACTTATTATTTACTGAGTAAGAATATGACATTCAAAGCAAAACCCAATAACAGAGTAGTATCGAGAAAAAACTTGGTAATGGAAAAAAAGAAACAAGAGTAAAATAGGGTAGTACTATCTACAAGAAAATTTTTAAGCTTGCTTGGGAAGATAATTTTTTTGACAGCCTAGAAATTAAGAATGTTACCAATAGTACAAGGAGTCAAGTTCAGGGGCCAAGGGCTAAGATTTGAAAAAGGATCCTGAAATGACCATTCCATGCCCATTTTGGGCACTTGGAGGTCAGGCAATTTGTCCTTTCCAAAGGGCAATTGCAAAGATGTTAGGGACCCTTTTCTCATTTCTGTCTCCTGATCATTACTGTAATTCACTTCAGCCGCCATTTGTGTCTCCTTTGATTCTTTCTCAAACATCATTTGATGGGTTAGGGTTAAATCTTCTTGATTTGGACTAGGAAAGGAGATTGTCTCTAGCGATGATAGTGGAGATGGAGAAGATGCTTGAATTGTTGTCCTTAACTCTTCCTCCTTTGCTGCCCTTTCTTCTAGCATTTTCAACGGAGTTGCCTTCCTGTATATCTTGCACAAAACAATCTCCTGCATTTCCACATGGTGGAAAATATCAACAAATTTTCCTTCTGGAATTGAGCCCATTTTTTAAGTATAATTGTACTACTAAAAAAATATACTCCTAAAAACTTTTATGCTTAATTTTGTTTTATCTCTGGTTTTTTTTTTTAATGAAATACTTATAAAAAAACTTTATTTAAATGAACTAAAAACTGAAACCCACAAACCAAAAAAACAAAAAGAACTTTCATGAACGAAAATTGAAAGTTGAAAGTGGAGATACCTTTGGCTGGTGACAATTATCTGGCAGACGATACTCGTTCATGACCCAATCAGTTTTGCTTCCTCTCGGGGCTTTTCCTCTGTAAAAAACAAGAGTCTTTCTCAGGCCTATGATTCGTTTAGGCTCCGATAAGCTGAAGATTTTCCGGTCCGAACCGGTTGCTTTCCAGAAGCCGGTTTCAGTAGTCCTGTTAGGTCTCCCTCCACTTCCATGCTTCCTGTCCCTCGGCACAAAAAAGTACCACTCTCTCTCCCCAATCTTTGACAGTCCTGTTCTCATATTAAGCCGACACAGAAGAGAACAATAATCAATACCCATATGAAAACATACATATAACATATATATATATATATATAAGCATGAGCATATATATATATATATGTATAGAGATGCAAGTGATCGAAGTAGTAACGGTGTACCAGGTAAGTCCCAAGGATCATGACGATAAATATTGAGGAAACCAATTATATCAAAACGTAGTCTGCTGCCATAAATCATGCTCTTGAGGTAAAAATCCAGAAGCTCTTCTTCTGTCGGGTGGAATCTGAAGCCTGGAAGTTCGAAATCTATGGCCATTTTACTCATTTTTGAATTTTGCTAATGCAAAAAGGGTGTTAGAAGGGTATAACATGTATAGGTATGTATGTATAAAGGGAATTATAGGAGAGTTGTGTAAAGCAGACACTTTTGGATATATTTATATAGGTAAAGGATATTGGTGGGTGAAGGTAAGTTTTACATGAGACCAAGTCTTGAAATTTTTGTAAGCATCTGCTGACTGATAACACCGGTGGGATCCACACGCTTACTAATCCAAAAATTAATAATGTCACCCGAAGGTGACTGAAAAGACGAAATGACGAGAGAGGTAAGAATAGGGATGGCAAAAAAATTTCGTCGAAGCTCAATCATCCACACTAAGTCGTTTTGGTTTTTTTTTATTTTTTTTTATTTTCTCTCTCAATAGTTCGGATATAGATTAACCAAATTGAATTAGTAATTCGTGTGAATTCGAGATCGATTGATTAGTTCTGTGTTTGGAATTTAAAAAATTAGTTCAAATCTATATATTAAAGATTTATATGATATTTTTTAAATATATATATATTAAAAATTAAATATATGTATTATAATATATTACTTGTATCATAACTAAATTATTTTATTGAATTTGTCGTTAACCTAATTAATAAATTTATTTTAGTTAATTTACATAAAGCAGAGCAATTTAAGCACGTTAAAATTATGTGAAAACTAATGACTTATTCTATATAAACAGTGACGAGTTAGATTTAGTTTTACTATTGACAAATGCAGGAGGAGGAGGTGGTGGAGAATGAGGCCAACACCGAAAATTTACTAGGTATTTTAAGATTTTGTTTAATTAATTTTTAATTAGTATTTGAAATTAATTAATTATATTTATGAGATTTATCAATTAATTAGCTTGTCAATACTTTATGAAATTTATCTATTCATCTCCAGTAGCCTAATAATAATTAGCATTAATTGTCGAGGAGAAAATTATGGCATGGCTCGCAGTTGATTTTTTATTTTTGATTTTTGATTTTGTTTTGCTCGCATTTTCTGGAAGTTTACTGGGAAATTATGGAGAATGGGAAGAATTTTCTATGCCTGTAAAGTGGTAAATTTGAGTGGTCAGCTTGTCCCTTTCTTGTCTACCCAGTTTTTGCAGTAGGAGATAAATTTAAGTTGAATTGGTCATATGATGATACCGTTCAAAACTCTTCAAGTAGAAATGTTAGTTTAACTCAGCATAAGCTCAATCTTTTTTTTTTTTTTTTAATTAAGGTAGTAATAATTATGTTAATTCTACAATCGTTGAATAGGTTGTTAAAGTTAAATAGTTTTATTAAGTCTAATATATATATAATAAATAGTGATAATAGTAAAAAATAATTTTAAAAAATTAATATATTAATACAATAAACGTGTATAGCCCACTTCTCCACTTTAATTAATTTAAAAACTAAAGTGTTTGGGTTTAAATTAGAGATTTAAAACCAGAAAGCTTGGGAGTCAATATTTAATTTATTTCCATTCAGAATGAGTGAGAATTGGGTATGACTTCAATTCTTGCTTATGACCAAAAATGGACTGACACCGACCTAAAAATTTTAGGAAATGCTAGAAACAAATAATACTTTTTATTCTCCCTGGTAATCATTTAATATGATTATATAACTATTAAGAAGATTATTACTCTTTTTTAATATATAATTGTTTATTGGTATACGTTTAGTGTAATTATATATTATTATAAAATTAATATATAATTTATAAATTAATTTTTTATGATTATTTTACATTAACGTATATAAAAAAAATTTATGAAAATTTAAATTTTTAAAGAAAAAACAACCAAAAGTTGAACTTTTTTTTAGAGAGAGAGAGAGTGTGTGCGTTGCGTTTTTTTTTGTTCTTATATTTTTTCTTTTTACAAATTATTTAAATAATAATAATTTTCACTATATGTAATAATTAATTATAATTTTTATTTTAAATTTAAATAAATAAATTACTCTAACCGAATCGGATCCCACCATAGATGGCCTACCCGAATAAATTAAATATATATATATATATATATATTTATGTGCTTGGGTACCTTGGAATTTGGTTAAATAAAGTAGGAGAAAATTTGTATTCCACAAAAGTTTATAATTATTGAAAGAAATAGACTTAGTCTTAATAAGCAAAAAAGAATTGGTATGAACTAAATGTATGTATATATATATATATATATATATTATATGATTTTTAAATCCTTTAATCTTTTGCTTTACTTTGTTTTTGTTTTCACATTAACAACATTTTCAAGTTCATAGACTTGCATACACCAGTCATATTCCACAACGGAATTGAAGGAGAAAGTGTCATAATTTGCAATTCGCTATAATTAATTTAAAATTTTTAGCACAATTTTTGTTGAAATAATTATACCCTAAAGAGAGATGAACTACAAACTAGGGTTTATCAATTCTATAGATTCTCCAAAGTTTTGACAGAAAGACAGCCCACCACCATCACCATGACAGAATATCTTATTTTCCAAGTTGTCAATTCAAAGACAATGACAAAAAAAAAAAAAAAAAAACCTAAAAAAATTTCATGGTTTTGATTATTTGTTTGACTTAAAAAGTCTACTGACAAGACTTGGATGGAAGTCTTCTTTCTTTCTTTCTTTCTTTCTTTCTCTGTTAACATCATCAGATCAAAACTCTTTGATGCTTATTGCTGATTATCAAGTGCTTGCTAGCTACCTTAAAATAGTAGTTTTTTTTTTTATTATTTTTTTTTATATTATTAAAAATAAGATTGAGTTTTATTTAAATTTTAATTGTATTTAATGATGATAATAACATTTTGAATGAAAATACATTTTTTTAATTTCGTATTAATTTCATATTAACTTCAAATAAAGAATTGTTATAGTTTGTTCATAAATATATGTTGGAATTAATTCAATTATAAATTAAATACAAAAAATTATTTCATGAAATAATTTACGTATGATCTTATCAAACATATTTACTTACGGACTGACATTATTGATCTTCTTCCGTGCAATTTCCTTGAATTTTCTTGTTTTTTGACATTATTTTTATTTTGCCCATTTGAAATTGTTGGCATTTAATTGTAAGAACACATGTTTCCCAGAAAAGTAGAGGGAAAGTGACGATTAAATTTTTAATTTCTCGTTCGAAAAATTTATAAACTAAATTAATATATCTAAAATAATGCATGACATCAAAGATGGTTAATTTCTTCAAAGTCAAGATATGAGACCTTGTAAATTGTGATCAAACTAGAAGCTCAAAGACAAGTCAAGGCATGAATAGTTAGATAAATACTAAAAATACAAGTATTTTTATATTAAAAGTAAATGTTTTTTTTTTTTTTAACTTTTGATGAAAATACAAACTTTTAACTAAAGACTTTATTTAATTAATCACCCAAATTTACAACATATCACATCAACAAAAGTAAACATTTAAATTAAATATTAGAAGAAAACAAAATTTAACTATTGAAAAAATTTGAAATATAAATAACTCATTAAACTATTTAATGACTAACATAAATATGAATTACTATAATTTTCTTTACCTATTTATCTATACGTGGTTTAGAAAGTATCGTAATTATCTAGTGGAAGTAATAAATCAATAATCTTCTTTTTACCTCGATTTTAAAAAGTATATACTCACTGTAATTTATCCAGAATAAATATATACATATATATATATAAAAGGAAATATAAACTCAACCCAAAGCTGGATAAGATTAGACCAAGCTAGCCTTTTTATTTTCTCTCTTTTTTTTTTTTTGAAATATATAGCAAATATCATTTCAAGTTTATGGATTCTAAGGGCAACAACTTCATTGACCGACTGATCAAACAAAGACCCTCTAGATTTAGATTTTGACTTAGACCACAAGAAGGGAAATACAGATACTTTATGTACACACATATATCTAATACTAAAATAACATAAGAAGGTCTTAGTTTCTTTTATGTTGATTTTTGTTTTTATTAATTTTATTTGGTCCGAGAAAACATAATCTGTAACGGCCCCCAAAATTTTAAATGAAATAAGTGTATTAAAATATCAATGCGGAAGCGAAGTTAAAATTCGATTAACATCCCTTACACTGAAACCAGAAAAACGTGATCAAAATATAAAAGATCAAACTAACTAAAAGTGAAATTCGAAAGTAAAGCTATGAATATGACTTTGGAGTCTTTAGGCGTCCCCTTCGTCTTCTTCTTGCGGAACGGACTCGGAAACAATGTCTTCCTGATCTGAAATGATTAAATAAGGAATGAACTACACTAGCCCAGTAAGAACATCACGATATCTCACCGTCACGGAGGTAAAGGTGGGTAGAAAACACGAAAAGACCAATGGAGCATAATTTACAATAAACTCATGTCTTAGTAATAAAATCTTTTACCATTCACTTACCTCGGTGAAATTCATAAAACAATATACGAAAGCAATAACATTATCATCATCATGAAATCATATAAACTGTGTAACATAATACTTATCACGCCCTTGCAATTCAATCATTTCACAATTACTTTTCCTCATTCACCAGCCTACTAGTATCCATGGGGATCCATAGGGGTCCCGCTACCCGTTACCCTTAATACTTGTAATCAGATTCCAAGGCCGTCCCCATACCCCGTCCGGTATGGGCGCCAAAACTGTAAACCTCAATACCCCGTCCGGTATGAGGGTGAAACGGGCCGTCCCCATACCCCGTCCGGTATGGGCGCCAAAACACATACGATCTCCATACCCCGTCCGATATGAGAGACCACAATCCTGGTAGGGTTCCCTACGGACCCGGTCCGTCCACCATCTCCCAGGATATCTAGTCAGACTGACCACATTATACAATTACCCATTTACATAATCTTTCATCTCTTTTCCCTCAGTCAGC